TCAGGTTTTAACTATCTCGAAGTAATTTTAGTTCAGAAAAAAAAGCAATAAAAAAGGCACTAGGCACTAAAAAATTTTTTTGGCGTTTTAATTTTCAAAAGGCACTAAATCTAGTGGTTAAAGCACCAATTTGGCGACTATGGCTACGTCTGTTCTGCCTTCTCGGGATTGGATAGAGAAGCTAAGCGAATGGGTCTGGTGGTGAACGAGGACAAAACGAAGTATCTACTGTCATCACAGAGCATAGAGTCAACAGTCAGAGCATACGCGTCTTGGCACCCACGTCACTGTTGACAGTTAAAAGTTTGAAAAAGTATACGACGTAGTTTATTTGGGAACCAGCGTTAACACCAATAACTCACTCTTGCCAACAAGTGCTACTTTGGGCTGAGTAGGCAATTGAGAAGTAAAGTCCTCTCTCGTCGTACAAATATCACACTCTATAAGTCACTCATCATGCCTGTGCTGCTGTATGGCGCGGAGGAATGGACAATGAAAGCATCTGATGAAGCGGCTCTTGGAGTTTTCGAGAGAAAGATTCTGCGAAAGATTTACGGACCTTTACGCGTTGGTGATGGCGAATATCGCAGACGATTTAACGATGCTGTATGAGCTTTGCAAGGATGTAGATATAGTGAAGTGGATTAAAATTCAGCTGCTCCGCTGGCTTGGCCATGTCGTTCGAATGGACAGAAACGCTCCTACTCTGAAAATATTTAACGCGGGCCGCGATGCTGGTAAAGGAGGAAGGCCTCCTCTGCGTTGGAAAGGCCAGGTGGAGAAGGACTTGGCTTCACTTGGCATTTCCAGAAGAGAAATGACTGGCGTGCTGTTTTGGACTCGGCCAACATCGCTTAAACGGTTACAGCGGTTCGATGTTTTTTCGTTGTTTCCAAGCATCCCGGTGGATTTGGCTATAAATATTATTGCCTCAACGTGGAATGATATTAAAGGCCATACAAATCTGTCTAAGGATTTATTCTTAAGTATAGTAAAATTTTTTATAAAAGAGAATCGATACTTTAAATATAATGGCAAAATATATGAACAACGGTCAGGAATGCTTATGGGCTCCCAGCTTCACCAGTGATAGCTGATATAGTAATGGAAGATTTACTGACCAAATTTGGAAGTGATTGTGCTAATAAACCGCGTCTCCTAACCTAGTATGTGGATGATTTGTTTGCCGTAATTAGAACAGAAGACATAGACAAGATGCTCACTTTATTAAACAACTACCAAAAGACGATTAAATTTACGATAGAAATAGAAAAAGATGGAAAACTACCATATCTGGCCACCCTGGCAACCAAGAAGAACAATCGATTAAAAATCGACTAGTATGCAAAAACTACGTCGTCGGGGAGATTAATTAATTATAATTCGAAAGATGAGAGGAAAACTATTTTAAATACCGCAACCAATTTTATAAGAAGAGTCCTTACTATTAGCGATTTTCATAAAAAGAACAAAAATATCATCCAACAAATTTTGGAACAGTACGAATTCCCCTATTGCTTAATTTGGAAACTTATTCGGAATTATTACGTCGGGTCAGACAAAGAGAATACTTAAAATGAGAATAAAGTATACAAAACCGCTACATATGTTCCGGGAATATCTAAGAGGACTAAACATACGTTAGTATGTATATACGATAAAGAAAAGATCCAAATAGCATTTATATGCAGAAAGACAATAGGAAAAACGTATAGCAACAGCAAGGACAAGATTCCTAGATTCGAGAAATCTGACGTAATATATAAAATTTCATGTAATGGCGACGGGTCCCACTTATGCGACAAAGTATATGTGGGGTCAACAAAGACTAAACTCAAGACAACGATATCCGCACACAAATTAAATATAAAGTTAAGGAACAGCTCAAAGGGCAATAAGGCGGCCTTGTCAGCACACTGTAGGGATACGGACACTATCCTGATTTTGATAATGTTGCCATTCTACAAGAAGAAAAGAACTATAATAAACGCTATATTTTAGAAATGTTACACACTACGAAGACCCGTAATGAGAGAAGGATCAACTTCAAAACGGACATAGAAAATTGTGCACGTGTCTTGGATTCATATCTGCAAGTGCACATATGGGTCAAACGCACTTCTGCCAACCTTTAGAGCTATACCATTGCAATGACATTTGTTCTCATTTTTCTTTTTCTCGCTAATAATAAATGAGCGACCATCAGCAAGATCACACGCGTTTTTCTTTTCCTTTTGATACTCTTGGTAAATTATCGTACATTATTTTGGTCCATCGAACCGGATTCCGCTGTCGGGACTCAAGTATATCTTTAAACTATCCATTTTTATAATTTAACTAATCTGAAAGTCTCGCGACTGTACGGCGTTAAAAAGAGCCTAAAAATCATTGCAACGATTGCAGCAACTACATCGTAACCTGCATTATTTGAGTTTACGTTGGACACGTGATCATAACGGTCAAATTGCGCGATACAGCGCTGAAGACGATCAAGATATACTTGGCGGTTTCCATCAACGAAACCAATGGATTCAGTAGCTCAAAAATTGAAGGCTACGTGAAGCTTCTAGAAGAGCAATGGGCCAAGTTAACGGAGGCACAGGATGCGGTGGAGGTTTCATGTGGCGTCGAAACGATTGATGCTGAAGAGCAAGCGCGTGTGCAGGCAGAAGCATGGTACGTGGAGGCGCTTTGTAACAAGTGCTTAGTCAAACATCGTTGCCTATCGCCAGTACACCCACCGCAGTAACACAGGCTATCGAGACGTCAACTCTGGCAGTGCGCCTATCCAGAATATAGCTCCCAAAATTTAGTGGTGACTCAACTGGGTGGATTCTATTCCACGATTCCTTTAAGGCATTGGTGCACCACAATACGACACTCTCAGGCTACCAGAAGCTGCACTATCTTCGCAGTTGCCTTCAAGGCGAGGCGCTGCAGGTCGTCTCTAACCTAACAATTTCTGAGGCAAATTACCACGTGGCTTGGGATCTGATTTGCTCAAAGTATAAGGTGATGCGAATCATCGTTGACGGTCACTTTCGCGCCATATTCAACATAAAGCTAGTTACGAGCGAAACAGCACAAGCTCTTAAACACGTTCTCAATTCAATGTTGCAAAACATACGAGCCTTGCAGGCGCTTGAACGGCCAGTAGAGACGTGGGATGATTGAGTAGGTTATTTTCTGGTATCCAAACTTCCACATGAAACCCGGAAACATTGGGAGTTGTCATTAACGAATAATAAGCTGCCTACATTCAAAGACTTGCAAACATTCCTCGAGAGCCGGTGCCGATCGCTAGAGGTACTAGCACCCAGTAGTGGCGGACCAACCAGTAAAAGGGGTAGTAACGCGGCCGTATTGCATGCGGCCAGTTCATCCAATCGACACTCGCCTCGTAACACAGTCTTCAAGAGCCGATCCATGCACGTACTGCTCTTCTCAGCACAGAATCTACGCCTGCAGTAGCTTCAACGAGCTAAGCGCGGCTGCTCGAGCACAAATAATCAAACAAAAGCAAGCATGTTTCAACTGTCTTCGTTGGGATCACAAAGCATCAAATTGCAAGAGCACGTGCAATTGTTTGAGGTGTGGTCGTCGACACCACACGCTACTCCATGAAAGCTACAACAACACGAATAGCCCTTGCGGAACAGCAGCACCGGTAGCTGATACAGCATCATACGCTGCACCTGCACACAGCCGGGTGTCTAGCGAGAAGCATACTCATCTTGCAACTAGTTCTCTTGATCCTGCCAATGCACTATACCGAAGCAACGACAGCGCCCTTGCTGAGCTGCCGACAGCAGCTCTCTCTTCGTCACAAAGCGCAGCTGATATCACTACTCCTGCAGGGAAGCGGGAGTCTAATAGAGCACACGTCAATAGGGTACCAGCTGCACCGGTACCGTTAACAGAGTTTCAACCGTGCGGCATATCCGCATTATTGTCACCTACGACAGCCCAGGCGTCAAATAGAGAGGTTCAACAAGCAACATCATGGTCGCAGGGTGTCAATATGACATCACACTACGCCGAAGAAGACAACGCCATATTATTGGCTACCGCAGTAGTCAAGGTACGTGACTACGCCGGCCGCTGGCATGCTATGCGCATACTTTTCGACAATGGGTCGCATGCTTCATTTGTCACAGAGCGTTGCGTACAACAACTACGTCTTCCAAGAAAATCAACAGCTATCCTGATCACAGGCATAGGCTCTACGCCAAGCGGTAGGCCAAGGGGTGAAGTAATCCTTACTATCGCGTCATCGCAATTACAGCCGTCTTACGTCATCAACGCGTTAGTTTTGCCAAAGATAACCGGCGATCTGCCGACCACTTGCGTGAAAGTCGCAGATTGGCAACACATCAAAGGACTTGCACTGGCAGATCCGCACTTCGCCACACCAGGTCTCATCGACATACTCATCGGTATGGACGAAATGGAGAATTTCCTGACTACTTATCTACGCAAAGGCCCCCTGGCGCGCCGCTGGCTCAGCGGACAGCATTCGGATGGGTTCTCTTTGGAAGAACAACTGCTACACACGCGGAGGTTCCGAGCCTACATTGCGATGTAGATCTTGTTAAGATTTTAAGCAAGGTTTGGGAGCATGACCCGGTCCCGCATCGGCAACATCTCACAGACGAAGAAAAGTTCTGTGAAGATCTCTTCGACTCAACACACCAATGTGCAGCAGACGGGCGATTCATTGTGCAGCTACCTCTAAAACCTTCTGTGCCTATAGGCGAGACCCGTTCTGTCGCATTACGCAGTTTTTACAGGCTTGAGAAGCGATTAGGTGCAAACGAGAACCTACGTCGGCACTATGTGGAGTTCATGCATGAGCTGTTGCGGATGGGTCACATGGAGTGCGTCCGTGATAGACCCTCATCCTGTTATTACATGCCTCATCATGCGGTATTAAAAGAAGAGTTGTTGTGTTCAACACATCGATGTAGTCCTCTTCAGGGCTTTCGTTAAATGATGCATTAATGGTTGAGCCACAATTACAACAAGAATTATTTCCCATTCTATTGCGTTTCCGTATGCATCGCTATGCCATGAGCGCCGATATAGCGAAAATGTACCGGCAGGTATATGTGCACGAGAAGCATGTGGATTTCCAAAGAATCGTGTGGAGAGATGCGCCTACCGAAGAACTGAAAGACTATGGTATACTTCGTCTCACTTACGGTACACCTGCTGCAAGTCACTTGGCTGTGAAGGCGTTGCAGCAAGTTGCTAGGCATAAAATGACAGAATTTCAGTCCTCGGCGGAAATCATTCTACGGGATTTCTATATGGGCGACCACCTAACAGGCGCTCACACCGCAGACGAGCTTGTGTTGCGTAAAAGCGAAGTATCTCAGCTACTCTTAGAAGGGGGATTTGAACTGAGGAAGTGGGCGAGTTATTGCAAGCAGCTTTTGGATAAAATTCCAACATCCACAACGCCGATGAATCATTTGTTAGCTGAAAAAGGGGAAGTGAGAACGCTGGGGTTAACGTGGAACACGTCTCACGATTACTTGACGTATGCGGTAAGTCTTAAGGCATCTCCTACCTTACTCACCAAATGAGGTTTCCTGTCGGATACCAGCACTACTTTCGATCCGCTAGGTCTAATCGCATCTTGCACTATAAAGGCGAGAATTTGGTTTCAGCAAATTTGGCGCACTGATGTCGATTGGGACGAACCGGTTCCCCATCAAATAGCGAAAGAATGGTACCTTCATCGTGACGAGCTTCGATTGCTGTCTAACCTTCAATTAAACTATTGGCTGGGTATGAGCCCAAATACGCAAACCGAATTTCATGTATTTGCAGACGCGTCGGAGAAGGCGTATGCGGCCGTGGCCTATGCACGTACTAAGTACTTAGACGGCAAGATCGTGGTCAATCTAGTGGCATCCAGGACAAAGGTTGCTCCGCTGAAATCTACAACCTTACCCCGCCTGGAGTTGTGCGCTGCTCACCTAGCAGCAAAACTCATTAAACAGATCACCGCTTGTTTGTGCTCGCCAGAAAGTCGCATGTTCGGTTGGACAGATTGCACTGTGACATTGGCTTGTCTACAAGGTCATCCTAGCCGATGGTCTACATTCGTGGCGAATCGCGTGGCGGAAATGCAGGAGATACTACCCTCCGAATGCTGGACGCATGTCAGATCTGAAAGCAATCCTGCTGACCTTGCCTACAGGGGTATGTCGCCATCGAGTTTACTGTCGTATAAGTTGTGGTGGCATGGTCCGCCGTGGTTGTCGTCATCTAGCTACGTACCACATGAGGTCAAGCGACAAGATCACACCACTCAGCTTGAGATGCGTAAGAAAACTGCTGCCGTAAATGTAGCTGAACCATCACAGCATTGGACCCTTCTCGCAAAATTCTCCTCATTTTCGAAGCTAAAAAGAGTTACGGCCTATGTAATGCGCTTCATCGACAACGTTCGCAATTGCGCGCAAACAATGCCTCGCAAGCAAACAGGACCCTTAACCAGCAAAGAAATCCAAGTCGCAGAGCTAAAGCTCATAAGGTACACTCAAAACTTTTACTTCCATAATGAAATTTATCTTTGTAGCGCCAAAAAGCCACTTCCACGACGTATCAGTCTTTTGCGGTTACAGCCGTTTGTTGATAAAAGCGGTATCCTTCGTGTTGGAGGTAGGCTTAAGCACTCCAATGTGGCGTCTGATGTAAAACACCCTGTAATATTAGCCAAGAGCTCTCCACTGGCAAAGCTAATAGTGGCAGATATTCATAAATTTACGCTACACGCTGGACCTCGAATTATGCAGGCGCTATTGGGTTGTTGGTGCACGCAGCTTAATTCGTAACATATACCATAAGTGTGTCAAATGTACCTTATTAAACCGTAATACAGCTCAACAATCAATGGGGAATTTACCCGAAGCTAGGGCTACATACGCTCGTTGTTTTAGCCGCAGTGCAGTGGATTTTGCTGGCCCTTATGTGTACAAATTTACACATGGAAGAGGAGCGAAATCCATCAAAGGGTATATATGCTTTTTCATTTGCATGTGCACTGGTGCCATGCATCTTGAGTTCGTGGGAGACCTGTCGACGCCCGCTTTTCTCAACGCTTTTAAACGGTTTATAAATCGCAGAGGCTATTGCAAGGTCATGTTCTCGGACAACGGCAAAAAATTTGTGGGCGCCGAAAAGCAGCTGCGCAACAGTTTACAGCAGTGCATGACTTATGACCGGCCTCGGCCATTTTTTAACGATCTGAGTATTGATTGGCTTTTTAACCCCCCCAGCCGCACCCCACATGGGTGGATACTGGGTGATTGGCATCAAATGTGTTAAGTACCATCTAAAACGTGCATTAGGCGATACTCTCCTGTCATACGAGGAGTTCAATGCATTACTGACCGAAATTGAAGCTTGCGTGAACTCTCGGCCCTTGTGTGACAACTCAACAAATGTAAGCGACTTAGGGGTCCTCACACCAGGGCACTTTATAGTTGGCGAACCCCTGAAGTCCATCCCAGAACCTGAGGATCAAGGGTTCTGCGGAAACCTTCATCAGCGAGGGCAATTAATTTCCGCAATGAGACAGCATTTCTGGCGCCGATGGAGGGATGAATATCTCGTAGGCTTACAACGCCGCACCAAGTGGTTCCGACCGTCCCGCAATATCCAGGAAGGAGATGTTGTTGCTGTCTTTGGCACGCCTACCCCACCGACAAAGTGGACGCTTGCAAGAGTGGTAAAATGCCATCCTGTAGATGACGGTCTCGTAAGGGTGGTCACGCTGCGAACGCCAGATGGAGAATTTGTACGGCCCACCGTGAGACTTTGCCTGCCTCCTACCAAAGAAAATTTGTTCTCCGAGGAGAATTTGTAGAGCCTCACTTACGAATACATATCCATTTAAGACAAAAATTGCCTTTTTGAAATTAATAATCTTTATTGTAATTTCCTTTTTTTGTTGAACTTATCCAGGTAGTTCAAGGCTGGCGGTATGTTGGATTTATATCTGCAAGTGCACATATGGGTTAAACGCACTTATGCCAAACTTTAGAGATATACCATTGCAATGACATTTGTTCTCATTTTTCTTTTTCTCGCTACTAATAAACGAGCGACCATCAGCAAGATCACACGCGTTTTTCTTTTCCTTTTGATACTCTTGGTAAATTATCGTACAACGTGAGTATCCCAATTTGGTTTTAAATTGGCAACAACAATCTTAAACGTAGGTGTTCCTCCTTCCGTATTCAAATTCGTTCCGCGTGCTTTTACATATGTTTGTACATACATAGTGTATGTCTTACCGCTCAATGTTCCGTGTATTGTTGTTTGTATGTTTACCATTAAGGTATTTTTAATTGTACGCTATTTCTATAGAAATAAAACTATAAAGGGAAGATTTGGTGCTGTTCCTTGGCGGCATCGTCTTAACCGATGTTCGGTATGTTGAGGCATTTTGGCTACTCACTGTACTCGAAAAGCTCGGCACCACAGCATGGCCATGCCAGTACGAGTATCGCGCAGACTCTCACCGAATCGAATGGAAAAAGTGATAAAAAATGCTTTCCCTTCCCTTTCAGCGATTGAAACTATAGGAAAATAGCACCCATTTCATCACTTGTTAGTTCAGATCAGGGTGTCCAGATTGTTTAAATAAAAAGCGCAATTTCTGAAAAAAATTCGCCAAAAATCGCCAATTTTTTTTAAATAAAATTCATGAAATCAATTTAACAAATCTTTTATTTTAAAAATTAGATCTTGTTATAATATAGTTTTTAAAACCAAAAACGAATATAATACCTTCAGAGGGTAATAATAAGTAACACAAATCACTTATATCGTCGCTCAAATAAAGAAACAGTGTAAATACCACATATTGCACCATTGTATAGACAATCCTTTAATCTATTAGATAAATCTTTAGTTTTCTTAAATATCTCTTTGGCTCACTAATTTATTCCCGAAAAACTAAATTGTATTTGTATGGTTTGTAATGGTTTATAAAAACTTCCAATTCGTTTTTCTCAAAACTATACTTTTCATGTTACACTATTTCATTATTCCAGCGATGTACAAACAATTTTCTTTAAAATACGCATACTTTTTAAAAACATTTGTTTCAATACATTTTGCAATAGGACTTCGCAATTATTAAATTTATTATAACTCATATTAATTGATTAATCGCACAATCCGCTTTTAAGAGCTCGGCGCTAGAAATTAAATAAAAACCTATAATAAGGCACATCAGCTATTTGCACAATTTCTTCAAAATTAAGACACTATATAATTATTTACATTTCTGTTGTTGTCATATATTGGGCTATTCAACCTTGATAACATACTGTATATTGGAAACGTTTTGCAGCAGAAACTATTGGCCTTCATATAACACTTTATTCGAACTATTGAATTAAGGCTTTCCAACCTCATCCTATTTCGAATCTTAGTTTTTGTTGAATTCATTACGGAAAAAGCGCGCTCAACAAAGCATAATTTATATATACATATATAATAATATAAATTTACTTATATTTCCAAACATTTTACTGCCTGTTGCGGTTTTCACTCCGTAAGCAATTCCAAAATTCTTCGGAGTCGGATGGAATGGTTCTGAGAAAAGTTATTCCATAGGAAGGTTAAAAGATTTAAATATTCAGTTTCCGCTGCTTTTCTTTCCTTCAAAGTCAAATAGTGAACTGGCAGGTCGCTGAAACTCTCCTCTTGTGATTCACACACTTTTATGGTGACAAAATCAAAGCTTTTTTAAAAGTATTTAATTGACTAGGTAATCGTTTTAAAAGTTCTTAGATTAGGGTGATTAAACATTTTTAATATCGTCGTTTAGCAAAACCGCGTAACTGACATTTATGCCAAAAATTTGATTTGAGGAAGCTCCAGCCATAAAGCCTTATCTATTCATACCAAAACATATATCGATATTAGACCATGTACTGCAAAATAACAGCATAGTTGTTATACCGCTGATCAAGAGTAGCATATATTTTGACTCTCCGGTAAAAAATCTTACATACGCGGTTTTGCATTATCGTGATACGCGGTATTGTACTTTAAACGACGATATGCTTCTTAAGTCAAGTTTATCATGCAGTTCCTTATTAGCCTCTTCTGTAAAATTATCGTAGAAAACAAAGTTTTGTATATTTTTATAATTGGAAAAAATTTATTTGAAGGGAAAAAATCGCCAAAAATCGCCAATGGCGATTTCCTAAATTTTTACGCGCAAATATCTAAAAAAAATCGCCAAATTGGTGCGAAATCGCCAAATCTGGACACTCTGGTTCAGATTGGCCGTATCCGAGAAATCCGTCTTCTATAGATTTTCCCCTCGTTGTAAATAACTTCGACTAGCTAAGAAGAGCACTCTCCAATTCCAAGTTCAAAAAGCCTCGTGGATGGTGGAGAAATCAATCTTGCAGTGTGATCAAAACACTGTTGGTGCAAGAAAAATTAAGACCAAATGAGTAGTCCACTTGCAAAGTGCGCTATGTACAATTTTTCGATTTTTAGTTTTTGGTGGATAACATAGCAGTATTTAAAGTAATTTCATGTCCACTAACAACTCAGTGCAAAATTTTTATATTCTGAAAAAATAGCATCAAATATTAACTCTTCTTCCAAAAGTGGCTATCATACTTATTTATAAACTTTCAAAAGTATTCACCTTCTGATGAACTTAGAAACTGCTACGACCTGTATAGACTGTTAATGTTATCTTATGTAATGTTATGTTATGTTATAATTTTATCAGGCTCTTGTTTATCCAAATTTTCAGGTAATAAAAACAAAGATTCAATTTAAATGTTACTTGTTGTCGAAGTCGTTTTTTCAAATTTATGGCTTTCTATTATAAAATCACATAACGCTGTTTGCAAGTGGACTACTCAAATGTGTAAATTTGTGAACTTGAAGACCTCAATGTACGCCTAGATTCTTTCACGATCACGCTCGGAAGGTATTTGAACTACTAGCGGGTGACTTCGGATGGTGGGGGAAACCTTTATATGTTCCATAAGCTAGGCCAAATTGGCGGTTATTTCGACTATGGGTTTTTTGGTCGAAAATCCGGCAAGAATTATTTATCACTCATAATATCAGAGAGTGATTATTCTCTTGCAAATTTCTGCACGAACCCAAATTTGCAGGAATTTACATGTTTCCTGCTAGCTGGTGGCAACGATTGCATTTCAAACATAATACATTTTTATAGAATTTTAAAAATTCTTTCACATGGACAAAAAACAAGATATAACTACATGTATATTTCTTGTTATTCTGACTTTATTTACCATACGTTTCAATTTCTTTATCGTACTAACTGTCGGGTTTCCTAAATCGACTCGGTTGCGGTTGCATTCAGATTTCGAATACAATTTTTTTTAGCCGAGTGCATCTCAAATCAATGGAATTAACTAAGTTAATTATATCAGTAAGTATTTACTTACATTTTTCATTAAAAAAATCGGTCATGTTTATAAATTTTTAAATTTAACGAATTGGTTTAATCAAATTATCGTCGACAAAAATGCAACTATGTGTCACAATCATATACATATATTTCGTGATTAGAAATTCTTGCTGGCTAAAATTTTTCCAGAAAGAATTTACAACTTCTCTGCGAGATGGATAATTTTTGGTCTGCACGAACGCGATTTGAAGAAAAATCATGATTATTCGTACAAATTCGTACATATTTCGACTTTGCCGGGTTCTGCCATAATTCAATAATTTACAGATTATAGCAATCATATTCGTATATTCGTAGAAAAAATCGAAAAAAAAATTCCGATATTCTTAAAGATTTCGGGAGCATTTGCGT